CGCGTCTGGGCTGTCCGCTGCCCGCGTGCTCCGCGGCTTTGCTGCCCGTCTCCCTGGTCTGCTGGAAACCAGCAGACCAGGGAGACGGGCAGCAAACCCTGTTCATAACTGCGGATCTCGGGGACTGCCTGTATTATATATTGCTCTTGCCTAAGAGATAACAGAAGAAAACAGATTTAAATGTACATAGTAACACAAGAAGTAGTCTACCTCCCAACCAAAGTCACAGATTCCTCAATAGCTGAAGCCCAACAGATTTCAAGATCAAGTTGTTTAAATATTAAATGTACTGTTACACTTCAAAAAGAAATATATATCTTTTTAATGCAAAATCAATTTTTGGAAGCATTCCATCCAGCTCTTGACTAATTCATTTGGGTTCACTACAACATTTTAATGAATTCAAATGAGGAATGAATCAAACCAATACACAAGTAACACTTACTCTGGAAGTCGAGACAGAACTCCTGCAGAGAGAGAAGTTATGCTATCATTGACCCGCACTGATGCCTGATGCCTCCAGACCCAACTGGCAACAAACTCCAACAGCATCAAGACAATGAAAAGTGGCGTAGCCTGAAAAGGGATTTGATGAGAAGAGCAGTTACTATAACACAAGTTAAGTTCTGCATAAATTTCTGAAGACTATACCAAGCAGGACTTTCAAAACAGCATATGTTAGAAGATATCATAACGACATTTTAGAATGGCCTTCCTAGAGCCATTTATTTATTATTTATATCATCACTGTGTATAGAGAACACAATGGGCTAAGATGTGAAAAATCTTAGCTACATTCATAAGGCAACAATTGATATGAATAACAAAATTAATTATATCTGAGAAAAGTTGAATAAACACAGATTGATTTCATTTGTAAACAAATATGAGTGGGTTATTGCATGCTATCTTGACAATTGTTCAATTAATTTCTATGTACTGCTGACTTTGGCTACAGGAACTTTTCTGTAAGGCCCATAGACTGTTTTGTACAGCCAAAATCTTTTTCTAGACATACCAGCAGCAGCATCAGATTACAAGTGAATGAACGGGCATTGTATATATTGTGATTTACTGGGGGAAATATAATGACCTCAAGACACAAAACACAGAAGAACTAAAAAAGTTACATTGGCATATCTCCACTGATTTTTATTTGACTTTAAGATAAACATATGATTATGCTTGCTTATGTTTGTGCAGTCACTGTTTGAGTTCATGGAGGTATGAAAAAACCAGGTCTGATACCATCAGTTACTTCTGGCCAGATTAAAAGACTTAATCCTGCAAACATTCAAATTAAATACATTTGCTGCTATAAAGGCAGAGCTTAATTCACACTGCCTGTTATTTTTGTTTATATTGAATAAAATTTATTTTTTATTCTACACACATTTCCAGTTTTCAATGCACAGCAGATTTTTGTACTGCTGTAAAAAGGTTTAACTCAATTACCTATGCTGTCAGGAAGGAAACTGGAGGTGGGCA